CGGGTGAGCTACCAGGGTGCCCCAGCATGCTTTTACTTTAAAATGTTAAGCAAAGGAACATATTTTTTCTAAAAGTATAAAAAGAAAAACTACCACAGTCTTAAAAAAAACCATCTTGATGAGTTTAAACCCAAAGACCAGAGGCCAATTACTGCTGTACTATATGTGTATCCAATGTTTCAGCATTAAAAAAAGAGCATATAATTCAAGGTTATTTTATCATTTACAGCACAGGGTTGTAAAATTGTCGGTATATTTCCCTTTATTTTAAAAAGTAGATAAAAATTGAGTCATACTAATTTGTATGATGAAGTGAATTTAGCAGCCTGAGGGTAGAGGCTGGTGTGTTTCTTGGGTTTATGCATTTCTTACCTGTCATTTATAACAGACTTTAAATTGCTGTCTCATGTTTTCTGCTTCTACAGATACAAGACACATTTATTTGCTCTTAGTACCCAAAACTACTGGTTGGCAGTGGTACTTGTTTTTCTGTATTGTATTTTAACAGCCATTTTACTGCTTCCTATGAAAAAGACTGAAATAATCACTAACTCACTAACACTTTGTGAACATGTTTTGTTCTGAAAGCCAAGAGAACATTGCTCAAATAGTGCCTCAGCTCTTTTAAGATTTCTCATTTTTAAAAAAGCACTAATTGTTTACGATGTTAGCAGAAGTGGCCCTTTTTCAGGCGAGGTGAGCGACCTCGCCATCAAACGCTGCAGGAAACCCGGGAAGCGGTTGGGTCAGGATCCAGCTGCTGATCCTGCAGGACTGAGCTGAAGGATCAATAATAAAAGCAAGTCGAAAGAACAGAACAATCCTCATGTCTCATGTCTTTTGTATTTGTCATCAATAAAAACAGGATCATTCATAAACAGATGCAGAAACAAGAGGAGCCACATCAGCCTGAGGTGGCGCATGTAAAAATGGAGAGATTGGCAGCGGCTACAAGACGTGATGAGGATGGTGTCATTATTTTCTAGTTAAGATAACCATGGTAACAGCAATTTGTTGATACAGAACATGTTGGAGTTTGATGTGTTCAAAGCCCCTGAAAACATATTTTGGTTATTTCACACTAGGGCCAGATAGGAGAGTTTAAGGGAGGGCAGTCACATGTATCAATATTTGGTTGGAAAAGCGCACAAATGAAGATGTTTGAACTCAAACACATTACATTATTGTGGCACATTAAAGCATTGATTAGAAATACCTAAAGGTAGCATTAAATATCAATACATTTAGTCTTTTTTCATTGAACCCTAGTTTAAAATGTGCCACCCCTGCTGAGCAAGAAATGTCTGACGTGTGTTTCCCTCAGTGCTCTTCTCACTGGTTTAATACGGCCGGGATGCATTTAAAAAAGGTGATGTCATCTACATCAGCACACCAATCAGAATGATCAACATACGAATATGTATCTGAAGACAGTTGGGAGGTTGTTTGCTTGTGTTAGCAGGTTACTGTCAATCAAAACTCATCAAATCACACACACACACTTTCCATGTCATAGAGAAATGAAAAACAATGCTTTCAGGGGCCTTAAGTCAGATGAGAGGATCAATATCAGTTACCCGTCTGTCGAACATTTTTAGTCTAGTTAAGCACAAAGACTAGAATCACGACAGACAGCGAGTGTCCTCCAAAACCAACACAACCAAAAGTCATCTGTGTCACAAAATGTCGACAAGCTTCTCATCTCTGTGCTTAGCTAGGTTAAACACTTGATGATGACTTTGATATACAAGTGACAGAAAAACACCTTTCCAAAAATGTCAGTGTTTCTTTTTTGTCTGCACAATTATACAGGTAGCACCTTTAAATCAGTTTGTTTTGGGGTGTGTGTCTCTGAGCACGACAGCAGGTGGAGCACCACTTTGATCTCCCTCATGAGCTCAAGTTGATATCTGGATAGGCAGTGGTACTTATCATCAAAAAGGCACATACATGAGTCAATGCATTACGGATAAAACCCTTACCCAAAATAAATAGGCTAACTAATGAGTTAAAAACCACATCAAGGACCTTAAGGGAGAGAAATAAAACCTGTAAGGACGAGCTATTTTCTCCACGACTCTGACACTTACTGGATCGTTTTACTTTGGCTGCTCAGTAACAACTTTGGATAAAATGATGTTCCAACTCAAAAAAATTAAAAAATGTCAGAATTAATTAAAAAATTCGTCCAACCCAAAAGAAAAGGGAAATAAAAAGAGAATTAAAAAGCTCATCATCCTGAACATCTAGATCAAATAATAAAAAAAAAAAACTTTGATATTTTCAGGTTTTGGTCTTTGTCCATATTTCATCAGTCTCTGGAGAACACTTGTTTTTGAGGTTACTTAGCAGCTGTGTGTCCTGACTGATCGTTGGCTACCTCTACGTGCACAAACCGACCTCTACCTGGAGGTCCGATCGACCTCCGCTCACGTCTCTCTGTTGCCCAAATGAAAGCAGGTGCACACAACAGCTGTGGTCAACATTTGGATTCAACTATGCTTCATCAGCGAAGACAACTTGATGAAGACCAAGATGGCTGAGATGTTGCGTGAACCCGCTTTAAGTGTTGACATCAACATGTTTGGAAGGTGCTGTGAGTATGGTTTGTGCCTGTAGAGGTAGCTGCGGTTCTGCTCATAGCGGCGGCTGCTCCTGCAGCTCTGTACGCGGGTCTGGGAGAGGCTGAGGGGAGCTGCTGCTTCTCTCCGTCTCTACCGCAGAGCCCTCCTTCTTCCCGTCCTCCTCGGCTTTCTGTTTCTCCGCCTTGGTCTTGAACCTCAGCCCGTGGCCTGTCAACCAAAGGACATACAGATTATTTTCATCATCAGTTTGTCTGCTTTTTCCATCGACTGCTGCCAGCGAAACCGTTGTTTTTCTATGGTACGGCAGGCCTAGTGTGCGCTCTTCTCTTGCACCACGTGTTGCATTTCTCTAGCAGCCGCGCCGCTCATCAACAGGTTCAGGAAGCCAATGAAATCAGGGAAAACGCAGGATTTTCTACTTTACCACCCCCTTCTGTTTCAATGCCGTTAGATGAGTGGAAGAGAGGGAGGGGCAAAGGGGGAATCCATAGCTCATGTAAGTTACTTGTCTCATAGGGAGAGAGACCAACGACAAGAGCTTGTCGTCCATTTTTTGTTGGAAATATTACTCAATAAAACCCCAAAAAACAGGGTTAGGGTTAGATAAATATTCTGATATATTAGTAATAAAATCATTAGTTTGTGGTACAAAAAACAACAACTGCACAACACTCATTTGTACAACTTGCTGACACTGTTATATTTGTGTGTGTGTGTGT